CTATCTAGAGACTGATAAATATCTGATCCCCGCCAGTCTACTTGAGATTCAGTAACAGCTGATTTAACTATACAAGGATACACATCCCATGCCTTGTGTTAAATCATGACATTTAGGACAGAAGGATAATAGTTATAGAATGTCTTGTGTCGTAGAAGGTATTGATGAGATGAACGTCTTTTTCATAATCTGGGGGTAATAATGTGTTGCTAGATACCGCTTATTATCTATGGTATTAATTTATATTAATATCATTGCCAGTGTTATGGATACCTAAAGGGTCACACACTTAGGACTTGTAAGGGAGTAGTATACTACACTAGTGGGAGTAATATTAAATATATAGTTGTGATAATTTTATACATATATATGTATTTCAAAAATGCATATGTATTTTAAAATTATATTTTGTTTGTGTCATTTTAATTATATGATAATTATATTTTGACAAAACAAATTTTATTATATATATATATAGCACTGAAAATGTGTGTATATATATATATATATATATATATATATATATATATAATTTTATTTTCATCATTTTAATTATATGATAATTATTGATGTTAAAACAAAATATGATGTACAATTTTTAATGGGAGAGCAATTTTTAAGAGGAAAAATCCAAGACCATTGTGATTTTATACATAAAGTATTTTTTAATGTCAAATTGATATATTTGATTATTATTTGATGTAGGGATTTTATTTTGTTTGGTAGCTAAGATATTAAACATTTACACATGGTGTTAAGACATAAACATGGACTTATGCTTAACATTAATTTCCTAGCAATTTCCTAAATATACTTTATTATAAAATGAGGTCTTGATTTTTAATACACACACCAAAAAATATTTCGGCCATCTCATTTTACAGAGAAGAAAAATTTTATTTTGTGTTCAAAGTTATTTTTCTAAAGTGTTAGAAATATACACAAAATATTCTAATGAAATATTTATAAGATAAATATTTTTACTATATATTTATTACTCCCAAAGTAGTATTATTATAGTTTTTACTATCCTAAATTAAACTTGCTAGCACAAGTTTAATCTAGGACTACGGAGCAAGTTCGTGTGGATACGTTGGAGACTTCATACGTTTGGCGCTACATTCATCTCCTCAAAACCATCCCCGACCGTTTATCCGTTCTCCGTTTTTCACCGTTAAGGTAAATTTCTTACTATAGCTAGTAATTTACGTAAGTTGTTCTTGGGTGGAATCGAGTTTTGGACTCTAAAAGTTTGTTTTCCGCTGCATCATCCAAGCCTCGTTTCCCTACAGAGCCATCTCAACTTGAAAACCCTCAACAAGCTATCCAAAGAAGGGCTAGTAGAAGGTCATCCCAAAGCTGTATTCAAAAAGTAAAGCATTTGTGATGCTTGTGAAAAAGGAAAGCAAGTCAAATCTACTTTCAAGGCAAAACCGGAATCCTCAACTACAAGGATACTAAGTCTTATTCACATGGACTTATTTGGACCTGTTACTCCAATAAGTCTAAGTGGAAAGAAATATGTCCTAGTGGTAGTTGATGACTATTCTAGATACACGTGGACAATCTTCCTCAACAGCAAGAAGGAAACTCAAGGGAAGCTCACAAACTGCATGAAGCTGATTCAAAATCAAGCAAGTCATACCATCCAGAAGATCAGATCTGACAAAGGCACAGAATTCCTGAATGAAATCATCATTCATTACTGTGAAGAAAACGGAATTCTTCATCAAACATTGATAATTCCGTTTCGTTCTTATAATTTACATCATATTCTAAACGTTATTGCACGTAAATAGTATTTAATCATCTCATAAAATGTGTTTTTAATGGATAAAACTCTCATTTTCGTTCTAAGAGTCATAAAATGGGATTCCACATGAAATCATCATAAATCATTCATTTTTGTACAAATACTTTAGAAAAAGGGAATAAATCATCAATGGATCAAGATTCGGGCTTGAACGAGCTTCCGGGAGGTCAAAAATAGTGTTCGGGGCCAAAACGGAGCGAAATTGGGCCGAAATCGCAAAACAGCCGCGAAGCCAAACGGACCAAGGCCTCAAGGCGTCCAACTTGGACGCTTGGCAAAGTTGGACGCTTGGGAGTTGGACGCTTTGGCTTAATTGCAGCCCAAGAATGACACGTGGCAAAATCTGGTTGGCCGATACAGCTGAGACGTCCAGATCTGGACGCTTGGACTTGGACGCTTTGACTTGGACGCCTTGGATTCGTTCCTATAAATACAGCACGATTCTTCTCATTTTTATGATCCCATTCCATCCCAACTTCGGTATTTACACATCCCGTCTCCATTTTAGCTTGTATGTTAGTTTTAGTAGTTAGTTTGAAGTATTTTCGGAGGTTTTGACTCCAGGTCTATTCTGTTCCGCTTTTACGGAGGTTGTAAGTTTTCTTTATTTAATAAAATGCTATTTCAATTCATGTTTGCATAGTATGAGTTAGGGTCCGGATCTCTGGGTCCGGACTAGTTTGGTTGTTTATTTTTTGATGTTAAATTAATGTTGGAATGGTTAATCTATTTTTCTTGCCTTATGTAGTTAATTAAACTCGAAGGATTTAATTAGCTATTTATTGAGAAAATATTATATGCCAAAAGGCTATGATATTCAAGTGCAACGGATTAAGTACAAATCTAGAAATGGATGAGTAGTAATAGAAATATTATTATTCCAATTGTTAATTTAATATGATAAAATAGATCCAGATGATGTCTTGACCCTAGGTCCAGATCTATACTTATACCATGTAAACTTAATTTATTATTTTTACTCTGCTCCCCTTTTTTATAATCGTTCCGAGAAGACTTTCATAAACCAATCCTAATCTTCGCCTAGTTAGAGTAATTAAACTGATACCCTTCGTCCACTCCTCGAGAGACACGATACTCGGAGAGAAAACTAACCCTTTATTGGGAAGGTTTACTACCCGAAAAAACTACAACTGTCAAATGGCGCCGTTGCCGGGGAGTGGCACGGCATTAGGTTAATTTCTTCTGATTAGCTTGGGTGAAGATTGGTTAGAACGATCTTCTCACTTCTTTTTCACCAACCACCCGTAATAATTATTATGGATAACCCCAGTGGTTATTACGGTCCGCCTTTTTTCTACCAATCCCCTAACCGCCCTCCGTTTCAAACCCATCCACCTTACCACCCACATCAGAACCCAAATGATGATGACTACCAAGTCAACAATGGGTCTGACTACTATCCTTACCATGAGGAACCACCATATGATATCCCGTCTAGAAACTTTGGATATTCTCCATACCAAGATTCTGATGGAGATCATTATTATGAACCTCATGGTGACCAAGATGACTATGACCAATTTGGGCCTATGTGCGACGATCAATCTGATCCACTCGTCGAAGAGATCATAAGATTAGAACAGAAAATCTTCTATTTCGACGAAGTTTTATTCGCTGAAGGCTCCTGGTACGAACCACCTTACTCCCGTGACTACACTCTGTTTGCTGAAGAACAAATCGAAGCAAACAAGGTGGCAATTCGAGAAAGAGCAAAACTTCTTGAATCAGTCCGGAAGGAAAAGAAGTTCGAAAGGAGATTATGCGAAGGATCAGAGATGATGCAGAAAATGTTGGATGACTTCCAAAGAGAGAGACTAGAAGCCGAGGCTAAAGCTGATAAATTAGTCAATGATTAAATACTATTTACGTGCAATAACGTTTAGAATATGATGTAAATGATAAGAACGAAATGGACTTATCAAACATCCGCAGCAAGGACGCCTCAACAGAATGGTGTAGTTGAAAGAAGGAACAGAACCTTGAAGGAAGTAGTAAGGACCATGCTAGCCGAAGCTTTCTTGCCAAAGAGGTTCTGGGCTGAAGTTGTAAACACAACTTGCTATACTCAAAATAGGAGTATGATTTATAAAAGGCACAACAAAACTCTCTATGAACTATGGAATGGGAGAAAGCCTAATATATCATACATCGATATTTTTGGGACCAAGTGCTTTGTGTTAAACAACGGGAAGAATCATCTGAACACTATTGATGAGAAATCTGATGAAGCCATCTTCCTAGGATATTCCATGGTGAGCAAGGCATTCAGCGTCTTCAACAAAAGAACCTTGATCACTGAAGAGTCAATACATGTTATTTTTGATGAAAAACATGTGGTTGACAAGCCAACAAAGGATGATCATGAGGTTCTGGATCTCTCAGATAAGGATGAAGAAATCAATGAAGGAGATAGAATGAAGCCTACAGAGTTCATTCCTTTCGGAAGTCTACCACTGAAGACTTCACAAAGAAATCCGGAATCAGACGGTGCTGAGCCTACCGGAAATCATGGCCAGCCTTCCGGAAGTGGCGACCCAGTGCCAATCCATCCGGAATCACCAACAACTTCTGTTCTTCAACCAAAAGCTGAACTAGATCAACCAGTCAATCCTAATCAACACAATCTTCGTTGGTTAAGGGATCATCCTCCTCAACAAGTCATTGGAGATATTCAATCTGGCGTTCGCACAAGGAGTGGCCAACAGAATCTAGAAGCTATGCTTGCTTGTTTCGTTTCACAAGTGGAACCAAAGAGCATTGAAGAGGCTCTAGCTGATTCTAATTCGATCAATGCAATGCAAGAAGAACTCAACCAATTTACCAGAAATGACGTCTGGAAACTTGTTCCCAGACCTACTCATCAACATGTCATTGGGACAAAGTGGGTCTTCTGGAACAAGATGGATGAAAATGGCGTTGATGTCAGAAATAAAGCCCGGTTGGTTGCCAAAGGTTATTGTCAAGAAGAAGGTATAGATTTTGATGAAACCATCACTCCAGTTGCTAGACTTGAAGCTATAAGGCTGTTTCTAGCCTTTGCTGCTCATAAGGACTTCAAAGTCTATCAAATGGATGTCAAAAGCGCATTTCTCAACGGAAACCTAGAGGAAGATGTTTATGTGGAACAACCTCCAGGATTTGAGTTACACACTAAAGGTGATCAAGTGTATAGACCCAAAAAGGCGCTATATGGATTAAAACAAGCACCAAGAGCTTGGTATGATACATTGTCTCAATTTCTTATAGACAATGGATTCATCTAAGGAGTCATTGACAAGACCTTGTTCAAACTTCATGTTGTACCCGAGCTCCGGGAATAAGCTTTAAGTTTGGGACAAAGCTTCTTAAACTGCAGGAGAAAGGAATAATCGATTATCAATTTATGATAATCGACTAACAAGAGGTTTGGTTTCTTGGGAGGGAAATTTGGGAGTTCAGGGAAGGGAAATAGCCGATTGTCACTTTAGCAATAATCGATTGTGGGATTGGTGGTCCCAAAGTGGTGAAATACAAAGTCTAGAGGGGGGGGGTGAATAGACTTTGTTACAAGTTTAAAATCTTTTTCGTTTCTTTTGAAAACGAGAAAATGAGTGTTAATCTAGAGTCCTTGTGAACTTTAGATTGTGTGCGGAATTTGATGGGTGGAGTGAGCAATAATTAATATGGATAGGTTAGTTTTCACAGTTAATATAATTGCAAGTAAGAATAAAGATAAGAGAGAGAGACACGCAAACTTTAACGAGGTTCGAAGGTGGGGTAATCCTTCTACGTCCTCAAAATCCACTATGTAGTTGGTTGTTGAATAATGAACCAACAGTTACACTTGTGTGAATTTCTGCACGGTATATCTTCACAAGACCAATGTTGCTACTGCACTCGTGCT